CGCTGCTCTCCGCTCTGCTCGGCTCTGGTCTGTGTGTTTTCACTCTCTTACTCTCCCCTGATTTCCTGGGCTTATTGAGTCATGATTGCACACCAGCGCCCAGTGACAAAGGGTGTCAGTTGGCTGTCAGGCATTCAGGAGGCTACAGCTGAATCAACACTATGCGCAGAAAACGTCTCACCCAGACAGACACACATCTACACTTTAGGAGGTATACATAGAATAGAAGAAAAGCTAAAAGAAAATATGGCTTCAAAAATATAGAGAGATATTTACCACCTCTTATGGACATCATGGAAACATAACCGGAGGCAAACTGACGATGAAAGATGAAATGACATCAGAAGCTGGCCGAGGATACTCTATCTGGCCACTTTTCTCCTCAGCAGACGGGCCCATACGTCTCTGTGACGCACTGCATGAGTTAAAAATATTAGCTCTTTTTCCTGTTCTCTTTTTTCTCCTCATTCCATTCCCTTCCCTTTCACTCCCTCCAGTTCATGACACTGGAAGCGTGCCAAGCAAAATGTTGACCCTGATTCCCTGGCGCCAGTCAAGATGAAGCCAGTTCTACAGGGCCACGGTTCTGGCCATAAGCAGTGCTAAGCTATGATTGGCTGTCAAGAGCCAACAGGTAGCATACCTTAGAGAATTTGCTGAGGCTCTAGGACAAAATTTGCCAATCAAAGAAAATTTACAGAAGTCTGTCTTAGGCTCAACAAAAGCTTTTTACTTTTGAAATGACTTCCGCACTGTCTGTCCCTGAGTCTCCAAGGAGACGGTCCAACAGGATTTATCTTCAAAGAGGTTTGACATGTCTAATGTGCCTGCTGGTCAGTCATCAAGGGGTCAAGCTATTCTCAGAACCTCCAGTGGAAAAAACTAATTCAGCATGGAAGACACCAAATGAGCCAATTCAACCTCCTTTCATTCAACAAAATTCAAGTAAAAACCATTCACAAAACATCAAAAAATAAACATTCAACATATTTTACACGCATGTTCACGGAGAAGTACCCAGGCACTCCAAGTATGGATTGAAATAAACTATCTTAACCATTGATTTCTCTCCACTGGTTTTGTATCAGACCGAGCTCTCTTCATTCGTGGGTAACTGGTCACCACAGCACCCCAAATGCCAGCAGGCCACAGGCCAAACTGCCTGCAGCCGGGAGAATGGTACTGTGTGACATCACATCCTGTCATTGTGTTGAGAACGCAGAGCTGAACCGATGAGAGTGGGCCAGTAACATCCCAATCAAGTCTCTGACTGCCTTCATTCCACCAAGAAACACAGAACGTACAATTAGAGGAAAAGAACAAGAAGAACAGTCCGGATGTATGAGTCATACGAGAGAATACAACCAGTTGCTTCTGTCGCGGGTTGGTGAACACTGATAAAAAAATATATATTTTGACAATGAAACAATTTTATCTCTATGCAAAAAGCTGATAATATTGGTAATGTAATTAGCAGAGGGCTAGCTGATGACCCATTTTAACCTGCTCTCCCTGCTCTCACATTTCTGTTGATAAAGCTTCTTGGTTTGGTTTTTACACAATGTGCAGTGCCTTGTAGTTGCTTCTCAACTAGACGTTTTAACGAACTGCCATTTAAAGCTCCCTCCAGCCAGTTTTAACTGCCGTTTTTGGTGAACGTTCTTTCTCAAACACAGAATGGGGGTGTGGTTAATAGTCGGACATAATACATTACCATGACAACCAAAAACTGACCGGAGTGTTCACTAACGATATGCTGTGTTAACATCACTACACTGTAAAGTTTAGTACACTTTACTGTCTGGCAGGAGTAGCTATTACTTACCCATGATAGAAACTAATATCAGCTGTTCAATCAATCATACAGTCGATGGTCCTGTCATGCACTGCACACGATAACTCCCATTACGTTTTATAGTGCGCTTACTTTACCGCAGGGGTGGGGCGCCTCCGCCAATGCATTGGTAAAACGGCCGTCAGTAAAATGCATGCTGCAGACTGTGTATAAGACGGTGGCAGGTGAAAGTGCGACGCGTTTTCTGTCATCTGTCCTCCAACACCGCACGCACAGATGCCATAATGAACATACCTACTGTAAGTTCTAAGTAAATGACATGTTAAAGTGGTTAGCTAGCTCACAACGATGTTTATCGGTTTGATGCTCTGACTTAACGAGGCGTGACAGTGTTTTTAACGGGGCATGACAGTATGCCTGCGCAAGCTTGGAGAACCACGTATGACTTATGGAATTACTATAGTCATACGTCACCACCCCGTTTTAACAACTAAGCAACTTTTGCAACTTTGAGCACAAAATTAAGCTATTTGTCAAAAAATATTTGGCTAACTATGTGGGTAATCAACATTGTAAGGAAATGAAAATATGAAATATCATAGAAATGTCAAAATACACTGGAGGGGGGCTTTAACTTTGAGCTAGTGATGTGCGATTCATGAGTGAATTGTTTGAAATGAATGACTCTTCTTACTGACTTGGGAGTCACAAGTCCTCATCTCCACTATCTTGTTCACTGACTCCCCCCTTTCTACCTGCTAGTTAATTAATGTATTAACCTAGCTCTGTGAGAGAAGCAGCCACTTTTTATTTTATTTCTTGTTTATGTGACAGGGACAAATGCATGAGACATTGCTTTATAAAGTATACAAAGTGGATGCCATGCATACAGGTTTCTAGCCATTAACCTCTCGCTGCCCTGAGCTGAAGGTCTCTCGGGTTGCACGAAATCACTCACTCACAAATTCCATGCCGCAGTCAGTAACCGCCCATTTACTATTACTCGATTCTGGTTGATCAATCATGAAATACAACAATCAGTGATTTCTTATTGGCAGACTATGTTGCTATGGATGCAGTTCTGATCATAGATCTTAAATGGCGGATAGTTTTTTGAGCATCATAACTCCCACAAAATGACTGATCAAAAACATCAGAATTTTGATCAGTTTGGTTGAATAACATTTGGAACAAGTGTAGAATAGCTGCAAGATTAAATGATCCCATTCAGGTTAGCAGAGGGCTAAACTGGAAGAGCCAGCTGATGTTTCTGTTGCACGTGCTCTATGGGGGCTGGGGCTGGTGGGGGATTCACCAAGCTCTTGGTGACTCGAGTGACTTGAAAATCGATGCTCCTTTGTGAGTGACTCATACAAACTTGTGTCAGTTAAAAGTGTTGAACCTCCCATCTCTACTTAAAGCCAAGAGCCATTGATTCTTTGACCATTGAAAATATTTATTTTCCTGTGCATTTTTCTGAAATGCACTGCTATGCAGGAAGAGAAAGTTGCTGTGACAGTTACTGAGCTGTATTTCGTCAAAATATTTATCTTGTATAATCATGAAGCCAGAGTGATAAATCTATTTATTTGTTTAGGAGATAAAAGTGTTTGAAGAAGCATAGTTGTATGTATGCATTTATGTAATGAGTATGTTTGTCATTTCATAGTTTGCCCACCAGAGAGCACTGACATGTTTATTTTTCAACTGTAAAATATCCCACTTATTATATGTCTTGGTTTCAACACTAAATGTTTGTTAAGTTAATTTTACTATTAAGTGGGAAACCTGACTTGCAGCCAGGGCACAAGAGGATCAGGAGAAACATGCAAGGATCAGACAAACACAAGTAGAAAAACAAAAAATGTGACCAGTATAAACACCCTAAAACATAAAACTATCTCTAAAATGCTTGGTTACGTTAGATAATTAAGCAGGGTTATTGCACAGGGAATTGCAGAGTTCCTTGCTGTTTTTTTTTTTTTTCCGGAGACTGCAAAATCGATTGTGAAAATGATTAGAGTAGGTTTTCTACATTTTTTTTAAATTTCTTTCTGTAGATGACCATGTGGTTTCTTACATAAGCCTTATTGGGACCTGATCATTCTTGTTTGCATGACACAATAATAAACTTTATTTATTCAGTCAATGAAAGGAATCCTTAAAGTGGCCATGAACAATATTTTTATGGAGCTTTATTGTAAGTTTCAGCTCATTGCTTAACTGTCTGGCCCACAACTTGAATTCTTTAGTTCATTTCTTTCTCACCTCTCTCATAGTATTGTTTTAGGCACCAAACGGCAGATAGACCAAATTAGCTGCTAGCTAATGAACATAGTGGAGTGTTCAGCAGCTAAAGGGCCAGATATTTCCCTCAGAAGACCACAGACAGAGCTAAAAGAGAGTGAATACTGGCCTTCCAATAATCAGGTGGACTACTACAAATAAATGATAATGTTGCTCAGTAACTGCTTGATTAGTAAATATGCAACTTTTTGCTAACAAGCTGTTCACAACTTGTTCCCGTTTGCCTCCAAGTGGCCAAAATAATTAGTTTAAGAAAACATAAGCTTGTGTTTATGTATATTTAAAAAATAACATTGGCAGATATATCTTTATCAGATATTTTGATGATTGAATATCAATATTGATGTCAGCCTGTAAAAGCCAGTATTGTTTGGACTCTAACTTATGACATTTGTAATGCTGTCTCTAAAAACAAAATTCTATTTATTTTTCTAAGTTATTCTTTTTCTTGTGAGAAAGTGCATATTTTTACCTCATTAGGACTGGAAATACTATTTTATTGAAACTATCTGAAATTCTGTTTAAGCATCCCAAAACGCTCCAGCAGCCCATGAACTCAATTTCTCTGTTCCGACTCATATGGACATACAAGTCTGTAATGTATTTCAGAGAGGTTGCTGATTCAAATTAGCTAAATAGTAAAGGTTAAGTCCTAGTGCAGATCTGAACCATCACTGTTCTAAAGTGTTTCAATAAATGGCATCTACAGTATTTTAGAATTTGTATCTGCTCTAAATCTCAGACTCCTTCCCTCAGCTGTATTCACCACCACTCCTTGTAAATATATCTGTTCTGCTTACACATTGTTCTAATATTTTTTTAATGAACACTAATACTAATAGTACTTACATCCATCTTTATACTCCAGGAAACACAAAAAAAGTTTGTGTTGCACTGCTTCGGGTGAGAATCTCTTTTCTTATTTTATTTTATTCATTCCTCATCCGTAATGCAACTCTTCTACAGCTTATTGGTTGGTAAATTCAGTGTGCCCTTTACTCAGGCCGCGCATCTTTCATTGAAATATTATTACTATGCCTCAGTCATGCATGTGCTTTTAGACACGTCAGCTTCAAGCAAGGGTGTAGTTGATAGTTTTTCAACTCAGTGGTTTTGATGTATTTTATCACCCATCAGGCTCTCTTGTCTCTCGGGGCTGGGAGGAGATGTACTTCACTTCTGACTGTGTCACTCCATGGTGCCTTAAAGAAGTGATATTGAAACAAGGGTATTTATATGCCAGAGGGTACTTCTGCAGTTGAAAGAGCATATGTAGATACATTATGGGGTAACTCAACTAGAACAAATTGAAATTACGATTTTATTTAAAAACATATATCAACAAATTAAGTGAGCTATAATAGCTAAACATTATGTAATTGCCACTCCAAGTAGTATAAAAGCAAAATTGACCAAACCAATCTAAACATTCACAGTACAAGTGTATAAAAAATAAACGTTAACAATATCCCACTTGTATATAATAAGTGGTGTTAAATAACGTCTATTTAAAATCCAACGAAGGTTAAAATCAAGGGCAACTGGACTTGGTTGAAAATACTGGAAGACGTTTCATCCCTCATCCAGAGGACTTCTTCAGTTCTGACTGACTGGCAGGGAAACTCAGCTATTTAACCTCAGTGGGGTCGTTGGCCAGGGTCATCGATACCGCTGGTTGTTGCTGTGACGACAGTCGTTACAGTCGTTAAGACTACCTGTGTCCAAGACTGAACGACCATCGTTGGTATCTTCCCATGAGGCCAATAGGTTACGTTTGTTGAGTTTCCTGGGAAGTGATGAAAGGACAGCATTGTAAGTGGGGGATAAGTGGTGGCGTAGACCCCCTCCCCTGTTCAATGACGGCTTCTCAACCCTGGTGTAGATGGCTTCCTTGATACCTCTTTCAAACCATCCATCTTCTCTGTCTAAAATGTGCACCTGGTGGTCCTCAAACGAGTGTCCTCTGTCCTTCAGATGTAAGTAGACTGCAGAGTCTTGACCTGAGGAGTTGGCCCTTCTGTGTTGAGCCATGCGTTTGTGTAGTAGTAGCATGGATGCTATCAGCCTGTGGCACTGCTGAGGTGTTATGGAAGACCAGGATGCTTCAATAGCGGCCTTCAGCTCTTCTGCATTGTTCGGTCTCATGTCTTTCATCTTTCTCTTGGCTCAGGTCAGGCGAGTTTGCTGGCCTATCAAGCACAGTAATCCCATGGTCACTGAACCAGGTTTTGGTACTTTTGGCAGTGTGGGCAGGTGCCAAGTCCTGCTGGAAAATGAAGTCAGCATCTCCATAAAGCTCGTCTGCTGAAGGAAGCATAAAGTGCTCTAAAATGTCCTGGTAGACGGCTGCGCTGACTCTGGACTTAATAAAGCACAGTGGACCAACACCAGCAGATGACATGGCTCCCCAAACCAACACAGACTGTGGAAACTTCACACTGGACTTCAAGCATCTTGGATTGTGTGCCTCTCCATTCTTCCTCCAGACTCTGGGACCTTGGTTTCCAAATGAGATGCAAAGTTTACGCTCATCAGAAAAGAGGTTTTTGGACTGAGAAACAGACCAGTTCTTTTTTTCTTTAGCCGCTTCTGACGTTGTTGTTCAGGAGCGGCTTGACAAGAGGAATACAACATTTGAAGTCCATCAGCTCTGATGCAGTCTCCAGCCTCAGTCCACTCCTTGTGAAGCTCCCCACACATTTGAATGGCCTTTTCCTGACAATCCTCTCCATCCTACGGTCATCCCTGCTGCTTGTGCACCTTTTTCTTCCACACTTTTTCCTCCCACTTAACTTTCTATTAATGTGCCTTGATATAGCACTTTGAAACATCCAACTTCTTTTGCAATTACCTTTTGAGGCTACAATACTGAACCTTATAAATAAAAATAAATTAACTTTCGCACAATATGCTAATTGTTTCACCTGTATAAATAAATGTTGATTGATTGTTGAAGTTATGTTTATGTTGTTAAATGTATATATTAATGTTTTTCAAAGGACAGGATTTGTGTTTAGAACCAAAAATCTATTTTGTTAAGTGTACAAACAGTTTACGTCAACTTCTGCTATTATACAACTGATTTAAAAAACACCTTGCACTCAATAAAAAAAAATATATATTAAAATGTCATGAACACATCTCTCTATTGTTCATACAAACTCCAATGTTGTTTCTACCTTCTCATTGCTAATCCATAATACATTTTTTTTAGCAAACTGTAGAATCCAACATGACCCTGCACTGATGTAAGGGCCACAATCACGGCTATCACAGCTTAACATCTTCTCAACAAAAGAGCGTAATTTCAACATATCTGCAAGTTTCTTACACTACTTTTGTAGTTTACAGGCAATGTTTGGTGGTTTCAGTTTTACTCCATCCACATCTAGCAGGATTTCTAAACTCAAAAATATAGGTCAAGCCTTTAGAGTACTCAGGCTGGAGGACATACAGCCATACAAAAACAGGAGTACATCAGGCAATCAAACCTCTTCCTGGAGGAAGACCTTGACTTCACAGGGATGGAATGGCACCATGCTTACATCTTTACTGTCAGCAGTGACTGATGCTATGGTATGACCTTTTTAATAATTTTTATTATCATTATCCATCTTGGGTTAATTAAACTAGTCTAACTTGCTGGCATGATCACTCAATTATAACTGGACCAAAATAGTAACGTGACACACACACACACAGTTGAAAGAAAATAAAAAAGGTGTAATATTTACAATATATAGGCCTACAACAGCTCATCCTAACTTTAAATGCAGTATTCTCGACATACTTTACTTGATATATTTACAGATATATTGACAGCTGCCAAAGTATATCGGACGACACATTTTAGCATTTTGCAATGCAACACAGAGATATAAACTGGTCACTTTACACACATTGCGGGTGAGTTTATTAAATGTAGTGACTTTAAACGATGTACTGCTGGAGAAAGTCAGCAGAGCAGAGCACCCATACAGGGCGAGAGAGACAGGAAGAGGTGGGGCAAGCAGGTGTGTTTGCAGTGAGAGACCAGAGGTGTAGGTGTGTATGTGAGTGTAGGGGAAAGTGAAGTGAAGAGAAATGGAGCAGATTCAAGTAGTGAGGAAACACAAAAACAAGGTGGAGAATTAACTAGAATTGAAACAGTTAAATAATGAAATAACCTACTAGAAATAAAATAGATTACGTTATACACCGAGCCACTACCCCTCCCTTTTTATAAGACAGCTCCAGGAAACGGTGTGTCACGGTTCTGCCCCTTGGAACCGCAACACATCACTGTGGACTTTTGTCAGCCCTAAAAAACTGCCTCATCATGTATGAAGGTAAATATAGAGCAAAATGTGAGAGCTTGTAGACTTGACAACTTGTTGGACAAAAATCTGAACCTGTATGTTAAAATTCTTAGTTGTATAAAACATTCAGGAACATGTTAGCTGAATTTGAAGTCACAGAAAGAAAAAAAAAGAGAGAGCTTGTAGAAGAAGAAGTTACACTCTTACACCATCCACACACCCGTGTTCTCAATATGAAGTCAGAGAAAAAATATTCACAAATGTGTGGATTGATATTTACATAAATACAAAGACAGCTGCAGACTTGTAATGCAACATGTACTCGGTTTTTTGTTTGTTTTTTTTACCTGAGTCCATTTTCCAGTACAACCACAACTTGGTGATTACAAACTATCGAATTTGTCTCTGCAACTTCACAAATGTACTCGCTCAACTTGGCACAGCCTTACAGTGTGCCACAAAATCAGTCCCTGATTTTTGATTTGTTAAGAAGTGGGTTATTCAAAACAGTGATTCCCAACCAGGGGTATTTGTACCCCAGGGGTACTTCTCATTTACCAGGGGGTACGAGGAAAGCTTGCTATTTGAAAAATAGAAATTATTATTTCTTTGAAAGAATATATATCCACAAATTAAGGAAGATGTAACACCAGTACTATACCTGTTGCAATTATGTAAAAGTGCATGAAAACTAACCCCGGACTCACACAGGCGGTGTGTGCGCCGCGTTTAGCATGTCCCACGTTGTTGACTTGTTGTTCATTTGTCAATTTGTGTGCTTCTACAATTGATCACAGCGTTCTGTTAACAGTATTCCCCCAGTTCCCTGCAGGGCTGAATTTCCCACATGGAGCATTTAAGAATCAGATCGTTTTGCCTGCCTGATTTTGCTGAATTGTTTAGATTTAGTTGATTTAGTAAGTTGTCCTTGATTTTTGTGCTTCTACTGTGGTTAAGAAGGCTACATTAGTTAAATTGTTTCTTTTCTGGTCTGTTTTAACTGTGTTTATTTTTGATATATGACTGGGAGTCTGCACAAGGTATTTTATTTGAAAATCGACCAGATTCTCTTTGCTGTTTCTGTGTCTGACTTCCTGCCCGGCTTATCTGCTACTTGGCGCATCTTCCGTCAAAAATAGACCGGCTGCCAATTCTTCGCTCAGCAGAGCGGAGAGCCGCTTCCGGGACGCGCTGCTGCGCTCCTAGTGTGAGCACAAGCATTGACCACAATGGCAGCGATTAGGTAAGGCAGCCGTGGCGCAGCCGTAATGCTACGCACACGCCGCCTGTGTGAGTCCGGGGTAAGTCTAACGAGGTAGCTAAAAGTAATCATTGGTCATCACCTTCAGTCAAAGTGGTGGTATGATTCCTTCCCAAACTAACCTTAAAGGGATTGTATGAGGTGCTTATCCACAGTCACAGTGAGTCGCGTGTGGAGGAGGCTAGTTGTGGACTGAAATAGGCCGTGACCAGGTCCGAGCAGCATCAAATATCCGATTTTCGGCCGGTCACATTTAACGGTACACACAGTTTAAGGGTGTTTTACATACACAGTGGCACAGACAGTAACCAGCTATTGTCACAGCCTCACACGCTAAAACATTTTCGAAGACACAGTGCGCGCAATTTACACGTGCAGACAAACACACAGGAAGAGACGCTATCTTCTATTGGGTTAGAAGGCGAGGACACGGTGGATATTTTACAGAAAGGACCAGGTAACGAAACAGTGAACACACCTGTTGGTGCTGATGTCATTCAGTACCACGTCTTACATTTGGTCGATTGTAATTAACAACTTTAGAGAAGCACCGATTGCATTTTTCCTGGCCGATTCCGATATTTTTAATTGTCTGACCTGCCGATTTTGGTCGCAGTTAGAGCAAGCAGTAGCCTATTTTTTGTAAATATTACATCATAAACCTATGTTATTGTCTTCCAACTGCGTGTCACATGATATGTTGGTCCAGTCATTACTGAATGATCATGCCTGCAAGTTAGACTACTTTAATTAATAACCCAAGGTGGATAATAATAATACTAATAATGCCCCCCCCCAAAGCAAAACAAAACCTGGGAGGAAAAAAAAGTGTTATGAGCCGAACTGCAGATCAAAAATCGAGGTCTCAGCCGAAAGATTTGGAGAATCATTACACCCTAATCAATTTGATATAAAATGAGTTCAGATAAAGAATTGTAATGTTGGTTTTGATAAATCTTCCTTTAAACTCTGCCTACTATTGCTTGCACATGTTAAGTGTATATCAGCCCACCTTGCAGGTGTAGAACAGCTCTGTGTCCTCTTCTTGCAGCAGCACTGGTAGACATCGAAGAACTACAGTCTGCTCCACAATTTTGTCTTGTGTTTGCTGTAGTGAAACATAAGGCAGAAGAACAAAAAGCTAAAATACCAACAATATATATGTACACTTTACAGACTGTGCTGTTTGTTTTTCTCTATGTACTAGGCATGTCGCAAATATGCTGTAGATTTTTGGCTGAGCCAGAGTTCTTTGCAAGTCCGACTCAATACTTTTTTATTCAAATGTTTATTAAATATATACCTGGCACTAGGTTTGGGCGATCTTCTCTATTTTCATATAGTCTAATCATGGCTTCTTGAGATCACCGATTGGCAATCTGATCGTTGCAGCATGCCAGTGAAATGCCAGCTTATTAACTTTAAGAGAAACCACCAGAAACATCTGTAAATGGACAGTATAGTGTTTCCACAGAATTACCGTGTAACTGTCGTGGTGCAAGTGCGTGCCAACCTCACGTGTTTGTGAGAGAGGGAGCAAGCAAGCAGAGGTGCTGTGTCCATCTATGTGCAGCTCCACAATGAATTATGATTTTACTCATGTTAAATAGTATTTAGTATGCGGCAGTCAGCATTGATATTGTGACGTGTCGTGGCGCCACAAATACACCAATGAATGGGAAACACTGCAGTGTGGTGCAGATTCAAGAGACGGTTTTTATGACATCTTAGTTCTGATAGTGAATTCGTTAATATTGATGCACAATAAACCAATCGGTGAACATCCCTTTAACCATCGATAGCTAATCCAATCGCAATTGGCACAGGCCTACCGTGCACACTGATATAATGCAGCTATAGCCTAATACATTCAACACACCTTATTTTACATAAGCATCTACATCCCAAAACTGAAGATCCTGATCGAAAAATATAAAGTTCATAAATGTGAAGAATTTAGGATATGAATGAATGTTTATCATGAAAAACCTTGACTCTTGAAAATGAAATCAAGACCTATTCATCTGCTGAAGCTACTAGTTGAGTGTTCGTTATACTGCTCTTTGCTGGAAAAAAAAAGATGATGAAGAAGAGCAGGGGAGATAACAGATCTGTTAATGGTTAGTCACAATATATGTTTTGCCAACCAGGTGTCAGTCACTTGCACCAGTGTGCCCAAATAATTTTTCACATTCACACAATCTTAATTTTCACCTATATACAAGCAAAAACTTTGCACTGTAAAGCTAGCATGCTGAGTAATAGGATTTTTGAAAAGGGTCGATACTGATCCATTACAATGTGCTTGAATCTACCCCTGTACTGATCCTTAGGATCTGTTCAAGACATTCCAATAATTTACCTGAGTTTGCTTCTTCAATGGAGAAGAGATCTTCTGGGCACTTCCGCCCAATTCTCCCTGCATCTCTCTGGCTACAGCTAGCAAACAATGCATTATACACTTCAACTCTCAGCCGCTGGTTGTTGATGCAACGGTATTCTGCAGAAACCTGATAAAAACAAAGTGACCTTAATCACTCCCCCATAACATCAGAAACATAGCCCACCAAAATCACCCTCTATGTATCTCGGATGATAGCTCAGTGTTTCCCCTAGGATGGAGTTGTAGCAGCGGAGGTGAGGCAATTTTTTTTTTTTTGAATAAGCAACTAATAAACAAATAAACAACCTTGTACCTTGACAAATATGTAATTACACATCATTATTTTCACCATATCTCTGAACAAATAGTTGGAAAAGCTAGAGCAGATAATAAATAACCAACACCCAAAGATCAGTCTACTGGGGAGGAACTACAACCTTTAGATTTGGGGAAAGTAATTTGGTTGGTTCTGATCCTCCACAGTGATTTTACATTCATGGCACAGCATGTTTTGGGCATCACCCCCTAAAACGCTGTTAATATGACCTCAGAATCATTATAGATAGCACTGTTCATGTTTGCCTTTTGTAGCCTTTGACATTTATCTGTAGACATTAATATAAAAAATAGGCAACATGAGAAACCTCCTCCCTTCTGAGGTGCATTTTATTTGCACGTTAAAATCCAAAAAACAAAAAACATCTCATTAGCTTAAAAGGACTAGTCAAGTCAAGTCAAATTATTTATAAAGCACATTTAAAACAACTTCTGTTGACCAAAGTGCTGTACACATGGAATCAATTAATCAGAATAAAATAACAAGATAATAAAGTACAAATAAAGAAATAGAAATATAGAACATTAAAATAGTGGAACGGCCAATGTAACCTGCTTATTCTGTGTTGAAAGCTAAAGAGAACAGGTGTGTTTTAGCCTGCTTTTAAATTGATCTACAGATTGTGCAGATCTAACATGAAGGGGTAGGCTATTCCACAGCCATGGTCCTGCCACTGAAAAGGCTCTGTCTCCTCGGGTGGTGAGCCTGCTTTTAGGGAGGAGCTGGTCTGCTGACCTTAGTGCTCTGGCAGGAGCATAAGGGTACAGCATGTCAGAAAGATAAGGTGGCGCAGTATCAGTCAAACATTTAAAAACTATTAATAAAATCTTAAAATGCACTCTAAAAGATACAGGGAGCCAGTGTAATGAGGCCGGCACGGGGGTGATGTGCTCCCTTATTCTTTTCAAAGCTTTTCAGAGCTCTAGGCTACACCAGTTTAAGTTAAGTTTGTAACTGATGCTCTCAACATTGTACAAGTAGGCAGTAATAAAATACAGCTACCAGCTACTTTTTATAAATTGACCTATAGTTAAGTTACAAAAACACAGCCTACTGTATAATGTTAAGCTTCCCTGCTCAGCTGCAGTCTGAAGGGGAGGGGAGATGTTAGCTAGCACAAATAGGGGAAACACTGTAGCTGAATACAACACACCATGTGACAAAAATATGAGAAAACACATTATGAAAAGGTACAACAATTAACAATCAAATAGACCTAATACCATAGCTCTAAATACTGTATGTGTGCTTTATGTGAGTTAACGTTACCTGGTTTTCCCGGAAAAGAGCTGGCCATCTTTTCTGAAAATACAGCACAGAACAATGTTACGGAACAATGTGGCTTTTATGTCAATAAAAGCAGTGAAATCTCAGTTGTTGTTGTTTTGCATATTCACAAATGTAATAAAAGGTTTGTTTTAATTTAAAAGTGGGTTTTCAGACAGCAGTCAGTTTACCTAAAAGTCTACCATTCTTTCACAACCATAAGTGATGCTCGGCCATGTAAGTTTCCCTTAACTCCTTTAACTAAAAGCTAACATCAGTGTCCTGTCCTCTCTGCATGTTAGCTTCACAACAGCAACTGTAGCAACAGTTTTCTAACCCACAAGTTAGCTAACGTTAGTTACATTAATGTTACTTGTGTCGCAGTTTGCTCTATATCATGGTAGTTGTCATGGTATATTTCTCATAACTCACCCCATCATTAACTGGTGCACCATCAACGCTACGTTTTCACCCAAAAGCCCATTCTGACCAAATGCAAGTTACTATTCTCTGTAACATTAACGTTACAAATGTGCTCCTTACGCCCAGACATGCAATATCACTGATAAGGTCACACTGTAAAGAAAGCTTTTTCCTTGCTCAACATACTTTCACCCATATCAGGACATTTCTCCCTGCAACAAGTCGAACGTTTATGTTGCAATCATTTGTGTAAGGTTAACTTAGGAGTCAACATTAGTTCCATGCTAATAATGTGTAAAAACACATGTTCGACACAGTTGGATATTAGTCACGTTTGGCACAACGTCAAACGTCAAGAAAGTAAATTTAGCCACACAGAGTAATGTATTTAAAACAGAATTAATGTGTTATCTTTTCACTGCGCAGCAGCCTCCAATTTTATACACAGTTGTTGGCTCGAGCCGAAATCTCAACTGACACTAACGACCGTATTCTGCTGCTTCTGTTTGGCTGGCAGCGGTGGCTCATGCTTTCGTCATTATCCTCCTCGTTAGCTATTGGTTGCCGCCTGAAACCTAAAGTTTAAAATAATGCGCAGCTTTCCTATTTCCACATATTAAATACATAAACAAATAACATTATGTTGCATATCTTATAAATGACATGGACTTTTATTGTATTATGTTTTGGTAGTTGATGAGTTACTTGTCTCAGTATGTTTTTATCCACTTTTTTCTTAATGCTAACCACACTACTTGTGTCTATAAAGTGGATAATTTTAAATGTAGTGGAGTTTACAGAAAATACCACCTCATATGCACACATCACCTATTCCTGTAGGCCAGTCCAATAGTATGTCCATTCTACTGTATTTATCTGTTTTTCTGAGACAGTCCATAAAAGAGATCCAAGTACAGCAGATAGAAAGAAACACAAATATAGTCAGACATTACAAATGGACATACAGCATCAGAGACAGTCACAGACATCACTAAATAGATATGTAGATAAAAGTTTATAAATATGATATCATCTGGTCCTATGGAGATGCTGGTGGCAAGCATTGTCTTACATATTGCTCCAAAATCTTCCACAGGTGTGAAACTGGGTTGAGATCTGGTGACTGTGAAGGCCGTAGCATTTTATTCACATAATTTTCATCCTCACCAAACCACACAGTTAGCCCAGGTGTACCAAGCATCTGCATTGGATGTATCTGTTTCCTTTAATTTGTCCTTGTCTGTATATTTGTATGTTACTTTTTATCACAATCAATCACTTGTGCTGACTATCCAACAATCCTGGTAGAGACAACCAGGTCAAATGGACATCAACTGAGGGGCCAGACATGCCAATTAATCCCTGCTATACCTAAATATTTTTCAAAAGGTCACAGAGAACATTGCTTATAATGTTGATACTAGAGCCCAGCGTGAGAGTTGTGCTTTCACATGAAGGCCTGATCAATGAGTTATCCCCAAATTATGTTTTGCACCTGCATTGTACTCACTAATTAATAAAGACATGGTTTACTTATCTAATGTATCTACTGTATATACACTGTACAAAAGCATTATTTTACCATGGCAGACAGGCTTTGTTGTTTGTTGTTGTCAACAATAATTAAATAAAAGATTCTTTATGAACCCTAAATTGCTAAAGAAGAAGAGTTTACTTATTGACATTGTATTGACGTATACATTTCAACACACATTCAGGCTTTCTTTTTACTCAAATACTTTAAGTTACACACAGAAAGGAAAGGAAATTGTACTCGACCTTTAAACTGAATGTTGCTTTTACTACTTTTTAAAACTATATAATGTGTTATAATAAGTTAGTAAAAACACAAAAATCTTAGTAGTTTTATGTCAAGACAGCAAAACATTTTCGTGTTCAGCATTAACACTGCAACACATGTTGTAATGATATGTTTTTGTTACGTTACATGAACACAAATTTCTTAATTTTATTGAAAGAGGAAGTGACTACTTGTCAAATAAACATAAAAACATTAAGTACAAATTTTTACAACTATCTATTTTTTTTTTATTGGCCTTAAACTAATTAGGCTATAATCGGCTTAAAATATTTTAGTAACGCCAACTCAAAAATGAAAAATTGTTGACTTAAAAAAAATTTTTTATGTCAACCTTACAAGGGATGACTTTTTGTGTCAAATGAACTCAAAGTTTTTATGTCATGTTGACAGTTTTGAACATTTGTGTAGACTTAACATTAAAATTTTATGTCAAAAATGGATTGGGGTTTACAGTGTAGATTGAAGTCTTCTTCAATACATGATGATAGAAAACAGGCAATAAAGCAGGGCATGCTTTAGGGTGGGGCTCCCTTGTCATTGATTGATACAATGGCGCCCTGTCAATCAGGATAGAGGCAACTCATATCCTTTGCACTGTGTAAATTTAACAAGCACCACAGAAAAAGCTTATTAGTAGTTGGCTGTTTATTTTTTCCATACAAGTAAATTTGGTTTTAACCCTTTCATGCATGGCGTCCACACTTGTGGACAGTTATTTTAACTCCATTTTGGGTTACTATTTCATGGTCAAGTGACAAGTCATTTGAGGACAGTTACAGTTATAAATACCACCATGAGTTTTTTTCCTCCTATTTTTTCCTAAAATATTTTTATTGTTAATTTTCAACTATTGAGCTTAAATAAATAGCATAACATGAATAAAAAAAACCATAATATTTCATATTGTCAGGTGTGGCATTTTACTTTAAAAATTTTACTATTAAAAAAAAAACAACTGAAGTTTGAAAAAAAAATGTAAATGGATTGTATTTTAGCCCAATTTGAGTAACAAAATTTTTTTTTTAAATCTAGATGTTTTTGATAATTCATGTATGAGAGCCTGTTTTTCCCTAGTCAAAACTAGCATCCCAGTCAGTATCACAGTGAATGTGAATTATTTTTATTATTAATTACCTTGCTAGCTAGCACCACCCATCCAAATATTGTCACATCTGGTGTCTGGTTCCAAAAAATCAAGATGACAACAGCCAAACAATATACCAAACTCGGACACAGTGGCTACATCCTATCCCCTTTAGAAATGTTACAATTCACCACAAAAATGAATTACTCCACCTGCTGCTTAGATCCCATCCCATCATCCCTAATCAAGACCTGCCTTCCATTCATCACCCCACTCATCATCACGCGGGCTCCGGTCACCTCACCATCCTAATCATGCTCGACCTCACTGCAGCCTTCGACACAATCAACCACTCCACTCTTCTCTCCCAACTGGAAACTTACTCCAATATTACTGGCACTGCACTCTCCTGGCTCCGCTCTTACCTCACCAACAGACCACAGTTCATCAGTAAATGCACCTCCTCCACTGCTCCTTTAGCACAAGGCATCCCCCAGGGTTCGGTGCTTGTGTAAGGATGATAAAAATGATGTAACACTGAATACATTGAATGGGTTGATATAAGTTAAAAAAACGAAAAGTTAAAACTGCTAAGTTAAAATGCTTTGAATCATTGCACTGTTTGGTTGGAAGACTGATAGTTCATTTCTTTGTGGAACAGGAGAGAGTTGGAATGCACTTTTGAACTGTGGATCAGTAATCCATTGCTTTTTAGGTAAAAGAGGCTAAAAAGATTAAAAGAGTGTTTAAAATGCTGTCTTATTTAACTTCTATAACATTTCGGGGAAATGCACCTTAAAGTGGTGGTATTCTGCTTTTTAGTTATAGTTATATATCTTATTTGTGCATGTAACAGGTTTGCAAAGTGAAAAAGTCCAACCCAAAGGGAGTTCCCATCTCCCACGGAAAACTCTGCTCTGAACTGCTTGCTACCCTATATACAGCGTGCAAGCCTCGAAAGTCCAGCTGCATTCTAACATTAACTTAGCTCTCCTTATTTGCTACGCCCCGTGCATGCTGGCTAATAACTTTCTTAAGCTGGGTCTCCGACAATGACAGCGTTGTGTTGGACAGATTTGTGCAGCGGTTCCATGAGTGAGAGAGAACAAGAGAGGTACGGGTGAGCGAGAGAGAGAGGGGACGAGCGGGAGGAAGTGCTGCGTGAATGCGCTACAGCGATCTGCAATCAAATACGATTTTTTCTTAGTAAAAAAAAGTTTTCATACGTTATTTCATCACTAAATCCACTTCTGAGAAGTTTTGAGGTGAGAAATAAGCTGTGTAGATTTTGAATGTTGACAGTTTTACAAGAAGTGATGACGGAACAAAAATCTACTTGGAAGTTTTCGGAGTTGAGGAGCTCCGCAAGTGGCTGCGTGGGAAGCCTGCGCCAACCTGCGGAAGTAGTGTGAGGCCGGCCAGCCGCCCGCTCACAGAGCCCTCTGCTCCTGCCGTCACACAGACCACTGCAGCAACAACGGCAGAGCAAAACACAGCTGGAAGGTTTTCATACCGCTTATCTGTCTTTACATTCTGAGGAATGTTGAAACGTTTTAATTTAAAAAAAGAGAAAGTTGTGTGGATCGCTGGTGTGTGTGTCGCATTTAACGTCGCGTAGTATGTATGTTTAATACTGTAAGGAACATCCAGGGAGTAAATATTAATAACTGTAGTAATTTATGTATGCGCATTTAGCAGGCTAAACGT